ATTCAACTTATTTTTCCTACTTCTAGAACAGTTATTTTTCTTTATTTTAAGGAAAATGTTTTCCAAAAACATTTGACTTATCAAACATGAGAAAACTAGAAACCATATTATTTGGACCAAACACACTCATCCAAAAAAAATGGTAATCTATAGCAATGGAAATCATAAAGATAAAATATACACAAATACTAAACCTTCATCACCTGTTTTCACTTGAGGCCAAGTGATCAAGAAAGTCATTTAGTTCTTTAATTGTTAGCCCAGCAGAAGCCGTTCCATGTCTGCGTTGGAGGACCTATTCACAAGCAGTATTCCAATATAAGTTATTAATCCATATGTTTTTTTGAACAAGAGAAAAATTACCAGAAACATCAACATATTAATCTCAGAGGAACACAATAAAGTTGTAACTTAGCTAGTCATGAGAAAGGAAATAACGATGTAGTTTAATAGGTGTTGATTGTTGGACACATGCTGTTCCAAAAATAAGAATATTTATGAATAATGGAGCTAACATCAAATCGTAGTTCCTCGAGTTTCTAGCAAAGATCTTACAGACATTCAATCTCGAACAAGAAAGGAATGTTATGAATTGAACCACCCGCATAAATGAAAGCAGAAAAATAAAAATGGGGAAAATATGTTATAGTTGTATGAATCTAAAGTCAATAATTATTTTTAAATGTGAAAAGGACTTAAAGCGGCAAGCTCCTTAGAGCTTAAAGTGTGCACTTTTTTCAGATATGGAGTATCAATGTATATGAATTTAGTATTATAATAATTAAATTCTAATTTAAACAACTGATTTTAACACCCATTATTCGATAATATTGGTATCACTCCAGCTTTTCAAATTTGAGATTCAAAGAAAAATATTTTTCATCTTTTTTAGTTTGCAAGTCATTAGTTGAATGGCACATTAACTAACCTATGAAGTGTTAACCCATAGCATCATTTCTTTAAGCAACGAAGAGATGTCTTTCAATAATAACGCACATGTGTGAGGTAAAGTAACAAAGACAATTTACATGGGTATTTAATAGCAGGAACACCTTAGATCATTTTGTTGGTGAATAAACTTTTGCTTTCTCAGAGTTTTTGTGATACATGAATTATATTAATTTGTGTATTAGGAAAATTAATTTAACGATATACACATGTTAAAAGAAGTCCAATAAATACCTAGGCACTTTGGCTGTTAAGCAAGTTGAGTGAAATAAAGAAGAATCACCTCCTCTAATTGTCTTCAAGAGAAGTTGAGTGATTAAAGAGCACTCCTTCACCCCACCCCCCAAACCCTGGACCCCAAATGTTTAGCATTTTGAAACACATTTTCTATCAAAGCCTATTGCCTTAAATTACTTGTGAGAATTGAGAAACTAAGGCAAGGAGATCTTGTTGAAAGATTTTGAAAGAACTAAAAAACATGTCTTCATCAAATTCACGTCAGCAACATGTTCATGTATGCAGAGAGAACTACCAACCATGGGTAATGAAAATCAAAGTTTTTTTTCGATAAATAAAGGTTAGTGAAGATAAAAGCTTTAAGCTAAAATTTATGGGAGGTAACGGAGACGGGGGAAGTCACTTGAGTTGTCTAAGAATCTGATAGTTTGTCACCTCCAAATTCTAAAGCTAATAAAAAGAAAAGAGTTAAGGATCTAACACGTTTCAGATAGCAAGAGAGCCAAACTCTACTATCCAGCAATATAGAGAAGGGAATTCATGGAACATCATCCGTAGAATGAACATACCGGATTGGGAAATGGAAGAGTTGGTCAGCATACTAGCAACACTTCACAATGTTGCAGTTAACAGTGAAACACTAAACCAACTCAATTGGGGAGCAAAAGGGGATGGGAAGTTCTCAGTTATAGCAGCATTCAAGCTTCTAGGCCCACAAAATGCAATTACAACCACTGGCCTTGGAAGCTTATATGAAGATCAAGTTGCCCCCGAAGATTAGTTGCTTCAGCTGGATTGCACTTCATGGAGCTTGCCTGACCCAAGACGGTCTGGCCAGAAGGAAACTTCAAATGGCAAACAGATGTTATATGTGCATGAAGGAAGCAGAAACACACAAACCACCTATTTGCAGCAGATCCTATGGAGTATGTTTTTAGGTCTTATTGGTCACAAATGGGTCATGCCTCAGAATATCGATTATCAGGGATGTATAGATAAGCTAGAATTGCAAGAAGTTGATAGCACCATCAAGAGAATCTGGAAGATGATACCTGCAGCCATTTTTCGGAGTATCTGGAACGAAAGGAATAGAAGATGCTTTGATGGAATATCAACTACCTACAAATCTTGAAAAGGTTTATTCATGTATTTGTATAGTTGGGTTTATTTATCCCCTCTAGATTTCCCTGATTCATTTCTTAACTTTTGTCAGCTCTGGCTTTTTTAACTAACAATGTAAAGAGGAGAGCTGACCTTTTCCTACTTTGTTTTTGTAACTATGATGCATCTACTTGATGCATGCAATAGAACTAATTACTTCATTAAGAAAAGGCTCTAACACATATACATAATTCACTGTCAGAAGCAATTTTTGTAAAGAGTATGTCTTGCTTTTCTCTTAATGAAATATGAAAAGATTGGTAGACTTAATCAACGGTCAGATAGAATTAGAAATATTAATATTATCACTTTGAAGAGACAACTTGAAAAATTAAAATGGTCGATGGAGAGACGTAATACCCAAACAAGTTGATGAAACTTGCGAGTCAAATCCAAATATTAGGCAAGGATCTTTTGAAAGAAAGGATTGTCGAGAAAGTCCTCGATAGTTCGCCTAAAAATTTTGCATTGAAAATCTCTTCCTCGGAGGATTTTATGGATATTGCAAAGATGATTTTTTATTTTTTTTTATGACAAGGGAAACTCGCAGCTGCTACCCTTTGGATGTGAACAGGATAAAACCTCCGCTCCTATGCAATAGCTCGCAAACCACATAGGAGAGGTAACCCACACTAGGCAAGCCCGGTGCGACGAGCTCGACCCAGAAGGCAAACCCCTTGCTTTCGATGGCAAAGGGTTTCGAACTTGAGACCTCCAACATGGAAGTCCCAACCCAAACCACTGGGCCACCCCGAAGGGTAATAGCAAAGATGATTTTTGCAAAATTTATTAGTGCCCTTGAGGCACAAGAACAAAGAAGTATGAGGTATCATGGAATCGCTCATGAGCTAGATAAGTCAATAATATGATCAACCCAAGCTCTTCAAAAAAGGTAAAGCTTTTGGGAAAAAGGCAAAAGATACAAGAAGAAAAATGTATCTCACTCACAACCATTGAAAAAAAAAGGAAAGATCCCATCATCCACCCCCTTTGAAATGTAGATATTGCAAAAAAATCACCAAATGAAAAAGTTTGGTTTCTAGAAACAAAGGCTAATGATGGTGATTAAGAAGAAGAAGAGGAGGAGACAACATTGTTATTGGCACTCCAGGAGGAAGAAGTTTACTCAAGATTGAAATGCCGAAGAATGTTTTGTGAATTCCAACCACAAGATTTACGGTGTTCGAAAATGAGCTTTGCATTGGAAAGAAAAGGCCTTCTTAGATTTTTGTGATACAAGAATTATCTTAATTCATGTATCATGAAATTAATTATGTTTCAAAAAAAAAAATCCAGTTTCAAAAATGTATCATGAAATCAATTTAAGGATACATGTATTGTTTTGTCCATAAAGAGAAGAGCAAAAAGTAAACAATAAAATTAAGATATATGCACCCCCCCGCCCCCCGCCCCCCGTGCCTCGGGGACCCCG